TATGTTAATTCGGTTAATATCACAGAGGGGATGGCGGGCGGCATGGGGAGGGGGGACAGAGGGAGGTGTGCGTGCTGATTTTCCGCCCGAGGAAGGAGGTGGCAGAGAAAGAACTGGGGCATGCCAGCTCCCGTTATTGTTCTGCCTTCATCGGTAATTAGCAAGATAAGGAGGGGACGGCGTGAGGGAGGCAGCGTGGCGAGGACAAGGCAGCGCTGCACCCTACTTCATGCCCATGCGGCCATCTTACAGGCGGCGCTTGCCTCCCGCAAAATGGCCGCCAGGGCCCACGCTGCCTCGTGCCAGCAGCCAGCCTTGCCCCGGCAGGCTCCCCTCGGCCTGGCTGAGGCAGCTGGCACCCAGCGGCAGGTGGCAGCGGTGGCAGCCATCCCGCTGGCCCGTAGGGAAAGGGGGGCACTGGGACCGAGGGTGTCTCCATGGCGGGAGGGCGGCCATCTTAGCGCGGGCTGCGCTCATGGCGCCAAGGCGCTGGCTGTGCAGCACTGCCACAGGCTTCCTGGCTGAAACAATCATGGTACGCTCCTCCTTCAAGAGGCGACATTGCCCAGGGCCTGCGTCCTTGCTGTGGTTTTCTCCTCGGACATGAGCAGTGCGGGAGCTAAGGCAGGGTTAGATCCGCTTTTGAGGTAAAATGTGCCCCAGTAAGTCCCTGAAGCTGCTGGGCATTGGGCTGGCCCTGGGAGACATGGACTGAATAGGTACAGCGAAACGGGCGCAGCAGTACCGACAGCCAGTGGGGAGGCATTGCCTGTGAGGCACTGCGGAGCGAGTTATGGACAAGTTATCTCTTTCTATGGCCAAACCAAAATCAATCCCAAACCGAAACTGCAGAGATACGGGTAAAGGTGTGAGCTTCCTAAATCTGAATTTAAACCAGGATCAGTTATAAAGAAAAGGCACGGTTAAACGGGCAGCACAGACAAAGCTACACCAGCATTTCCCACTCCATGGGAGCTTTACAGTGTTTTTTCATTCTCCACATGAGCAACACCGAATGCCAACCAAGGAACCCTCATCCTTGATCTGGGGCTGTCCTCACAACACTTACAGCAATTACTCACATTAAAGCAGTATTTGGGAAGTGTTTCAGGTGCCTCTAGCCACGACGGGGCTATTTCACACCACGCAATAGGCACACAATGGAAGTTGGGCATTGCTCCAGTGCTGTGCGGAGAACCAGAGCACGAGGGTGACTGCAACCGCACACAGGCAGGGCTGTGTTATACATCTCGGTTAGACAGTGAAACATAAGGGATGGCAGGCTAGCTGCTCCGCTCCGGGTTTGTCTACACGGAAAACCACACCATTATAATGACAGCACTATAGGTCAGCTGCTACTGCTCCTCACCACGCTGGTGCACAGCTCCACTCTGATCCTACCTTTCTCCAGTTTAGCTTTAACTGACATAACCAGTATATAGGAGAGTCCTGCCTTCTGCCAAACGAAACATCCATGGAGGTTGTGCATGTACAGCTCCTTGCTTTCAAATCCACCCCTGGACCGTACGTCTGTAGCTAGACCTGCCCCTCGGCTAACCTTTCTGTACTGCGCACACTTCTGGGCTGTTCACAGTGCCCGTGAAACACTATTACACCCTGCTTCCCTTGGGTGCTAATCCTGCTTGTCAACCCAAAGGCAGAAGCAGACGGTGGCTTGGCATTTTGATTACGTTGTGATCTGTTTGAACCTTCCAGACTCTTTTGATGTCTGTGCAAATTTGAAAGGGGGAGCCTTCATCCTCCACAATGAAACTCCGCTATCGCATGGTGAAAGCATCTCGGGACTCCTACGTCCGTAGCCCCAGCTAGATTTGGAGCAGAGAGGGGAGGTATAGATCCTCCAGGAAGAGCCTGAATTTCAGACCATCCAGTTCTGGCCCTGAGTGGAGAACACCACGGGGACAGCATGCATCTTCAAACAAATACGTGCATAAGGGCAGTGTGCGCATGCACAGAGACACCAGATTTATACAAATAGATGCATTCATAGGAAAATGCAAATAGCATCCTCTTCCGTCCCAGGCTCCCTTCGAGCTCCTGACATCCCAAGGTTTCAGAGGAGTACAACCGAGCCTCAGATCAAACATTAGCCCTGCGGGGGTTCCCTCAGGGAAGCAGCCGTGCACGGGGGTCTTTTCCCCGCTTCCATGCGAGGTTTCCCGACCCGGCCTTCCTTGGGTGCTGTGCTCTGACACGCGTACGACACACACGAGCATGCAGAGCCTTGCTAAAAGGCGCTCTGGGAATTGAGCTCTGTTTCCTCCTCCTTCTAAATCAATTGTTATAAACCAGCTTTTGTTTTATTTTTAAAAAAGCGACAGAAATAACCTCCACGCACAGCCCTCGCCGCTCCCACAGCCCTGTCCTTTGGCACAAAAAGCCACTCGGGGCCCCGGGGACATGGGCATGGGAAGGCAGCGGGGTAAGAAAGACCAGGAGAGGCTGCTTTCTGGTGCACAGAAATCTGCTCCTCCTCTCTTGAGCCCATTGTTTGGCAGGCAGTGAGGCAGCAGGATGGGAAGGGGCTGCATGGTGGGTAAGGCACTCCCAGCCTGCCCAGCCCAATCGCTGGCTGGCGCCTTCATCCCCTGCCCATTGAGGTGCCCGCTTCCAACCTGCTTTTTACCTTGTGCTCTGCAAGTCATGGTTTCTCTTGCTCTTTGGTACCAGCAAGAGGTGAGCCCCACATCACCATTGCAGCAACTGACGTGATAACGTGCAACTTGTGACAGCCTGAGCTCTGCCTGCCTGTGGTACACCCCTGTCTCCAGCATAGCCAAGGACCTGTCCCTCTTTCCTGCTATCCCCCTCTCCCAAGTCCAGGACTCAAGACATATGGAGACATTTCTTGATGTAACCTATCAGTGGGTGAGTGGCAGCTGAGCAGGTACCGAGCAAGACGTGGGGCCAGACAGCAGCCAGGGGGGAAGGCAGCGGGTGGAGGGAACGTGCCTCGGGAGAAATACTCACAAAGGGCTGCTTTCATTAATAAAACATTCCCCCCTCGGTTGCCTTTTGATTTGGGTGTAAGAATTAACCCCATCTGCCCAACAGCACGCTACCTACCAAGTCATCTCTGCTGAGGAAGGCCGTCTGACGTGTCCGTTCAATTGCTAAGCTTCTCCCTCCCTGCGCTCCTCAGCTCTTCAGGCCCCCTCCAAAGAGTTCACCAGCCTCACTGGGTCTGCCTTATTGAAGAGATCCTCTTCCCACAACATAGATTAGACCCAGTGAAAATAGGCTTAGTGAAAATACCATTTCACTATTAATTCCGCACACCCCCCCCCCCCCCATCCTGCCCGCCTTCACACTCTCTCACACCCAGAAAGCTTATAACAAATCCCAGTCACCTTTTGCCCCTGCTAACTACTGCTCCAGTCTTTGCACTGCATGCCTTCTACCATAAGGAGAGAGCCAGGCACAGGGTGATACTTATATATATATATATATATATATATATATATATATACACACACATAAATATCTAGTCAGCATTGGAGGTATTCAGCCATGGGACACAAATCTCCCCGCACAGCACCTCGCCTTGGCACAATACCCCAACCACTCCCTCTCCTCTGTGATTGCAATGCCTGGTCCTTGGGCATCAGCAGAAAGTTGCAGCAAATCCTGCGTTGGTTTAAGCACGATCTGTCCATTCAAAACTGGTGGGGGGTTGCTTTTACATCACTGAGACATATCTATTCTCTTTCTGTTTCAAGTAAAACCCAGATGCAGAGATGCCTTCGAATAGACAGCCCCTTCATTTTTCCAGAGGTGTGCTTTAATGAGTGACTCGCCTTCCAAAAAGGGGCCGGCAGAGGGGAAGGACGGCAGATTCTCCACACAAATTCAATAGCTGGTAGGTTGCCATGGGCTTAAGCATTTCTTTGCACACATGATGGGAAGGGACTCCAGAGCACTAAGGGTTTTGCCTCCCATGAGTTATAGCTCTACCCTTCAAGAGCGGAATAAATGCTTTATCCCATTGCAGCCTGCGATGTATTCTACATAGATGGATTGATTTCCCCTATTGTTCTTAATAAATCCTGGCGCATGAAGAAACTCGCTGCACAGCCATTTTTCCTGCCTTGTTCTACCTTGCAGAAGTAATAAGGGTCAGATGTGACTGCGGTGGGAAGCAAAGGCCGTACGCAAGGCGGTACTGTGCTGGATGCAGTGGGTGTGCTTGCAGGGGCTCAGTGGGTACAAAGCAGCACCCTTTTTCTCTGTTTATTCCCCCTTCTTCCAGTCTAAGCTGAGGGAAAGGGAAACCATGGCTGGGTACCACAGCATCGGCATGGCTGCGAGGGGAGCAGACACTCTACAAGCTGAGCCTGCACAAGTCCCCCTGATCTCCACAGGGAAAGGCAAAGCTCCAACCAAAGATCTCACTGATAAATACAAGGCTGAGCCATACAATACTGCCATAGAGCCTCCCTGGGCACAGCCTGCTCCTTGCCTGTCCTGTCCATCAGACCTGACCTTGCTTGCACCCCAGCAAAGAGAAGCCCATCCTGACAGCCTGGGGGCTCCTCTGGTTCTTAAAAGCCAAAAAGCCCACCCAAAACATGAAACCACTCCCCCATCAATGACCCCAAACTGCACAATTCAGACCCCCTTGTTGTGGTTGAAAGGCTCTCTCCCTTCCTACTGTCACAAGGTTGACACCCATCCTCTTTCTCTGCTCCAGGATGGTGTTTGCTGGCCACAGCTTCATTGGTGCCCAGCAAGGAAGCGCTGCTGGGCTCCAGGAAGCAGGTGGCTTTGCACTGACCTGCCTTGGCCACCTGCCTCCAGCTCCTTCCAGGCTCCCTGGATTGTCACTGCTGGCTTTCTGAAGCAGCAGCTAACAACTGGCCCTGCTCAAGAGCCTGGCTGGGAAATTTGGCTGCGGGAAGGGAAGCAGGGATCAGGTAAAAGAGGTGGTCTCCCATGCATGAGTTGGACTCGATCCTTCAGCAAGACTCCCAGGGACTCACCTCTCCTTGCCCAGGTGGAGACGTCCCAGCCCTTCCCAAGGCATCCCACTCCACGAACTCACAGTCATGTCTGATTAAGGAAAAGAGAATTTGTCTCAATTAGAAAGAGGCTCCCATATACATGAATGGACGTCAAGTAATTATCGCATGTCACTCACGGCTGGAAGAGAGACCTGAAATTTGGGGCCGTGTAAAGTCGCACACACAATTGCAAGTGAGTTACGGACCTTGGCATGCTTCAGAGCGTACCTTGTGCGAGTGCTTTCAAGCCCATCCCCGCAGCTGAAATACACCCAGGCATGTAAAATACACCCAACCATGTAAAATACCCCCAGTCATGTAAAATACACCCAGCCACATAAAATACAGCCAGACACGACCCCGTTCTCTAACAAGGAAATAAAGCCGAGCAGACCTGCGTTGCCAGAGCCCAGAGAGCAACACTGTCTCTTTAATTTTCTCCCTGGCTATCTCATCCTTTACACAAACTCTTTCCTCCCCGTGGCTTCTTCCAGCCTGGTGGGCAAAGTGGGAAAACATCATTAGGGAGGAAAAATAATTTAGTTTGTTAATCAGTATCCAGTGGTGGGAAACAAGAAAGACAGAGAGCAGGGCTGGCGGTTAGGGCTTAGGAAGGGCCAGCACAAAGCCCACCATTCATGACATCTGGGGCTGGGATTCTCATTGAATTAAACAGACACAAAGAGCAGAGGCATTTCATGCTCTCTTCACAAGAATTATCATATCTCCCTGGCACTAGGAAACCTTCAGCACAGGAGAGGGGGAGAGAGAGAGAGACAGAGGGGAAAGCGGGCAGGCTGGGTAGAAATATGGGGCAGGGTAGAAGAGGCTTTGTTCCAGGGTTGGATTTATGGATGGGATGCAGCACGTTGCTTTGCGGGGAGAGACAAGGCCCTGGCGCGCTGGGTCTAATAAGAATCAGCAAATGTGAAACAGGGGGCCCCTGTGTACCATGAAGCAGGGAAACCCGCATGTGACAAGCCAACAGAATAACCGCTCGCATCTCAGGGCTGTGAAAGGATGCTGACGTTCCTACGAGATGTGTCGTCTTGTGTGTGTGTCAGCGAGGAGGGGGGAGAAGGGGAGCGCCGAGGAGTATAAACAAGAGACCAGGCAGCATCGTTCAGTCATGAAAATTAATTAGCTAATGTGCAAACCATGGCTGCCTCTTCCCACTGCCCTGCAAGCGTTCCTCATAAAGCCATGGTGTGTGCGGAGCCTGTGACCGGGAATGACAGGGGCAGATTAGGCAGCTCCTTGGGACACAAGAAACCCACAGCCCGTGCAAAAAAAAAAGTGAGGAGGGGACATTCAGGGTCCTTGGGGAACGGGCAGAGCCCAGGGACCAGGAGAAGTTACAACGGGAGAGACCAGGCACCAAGCTGAGACCAGGCATCCTATTGCTGCAGCAGCATAAATTGGGGTGGATCTCAAAACCTACCTATTAACAGGGTCTGGTGGACAGCAAAATCATGTAGGGTTTAGACCACGAGCTCTCTGGGATCAGACCTGTCATGTCCTGCAGGCTCACACCACGAAGGCCCTTCCTACTTAATCTCTGGGCATCACCAGAGGATCTGCTTTAAATACTAATTGCTCCATGACCAAGACCTGTGAGCTGCTGGGACCTTCCCCACAGCATTACCTGTGGGAAGAGGGGACAGATCTCTGACCTCACATCCTCAGGGCAATTTGACCTCGTGTACCAGTGCCACAAGCGGATATTCATACCCGGTGAAGCTGAGAAACTCTTGACCAAACTCTATGTGGCCCATCCCCAAGCTTTCAGATCCCACTACAGTATCATGCTTATTCTTTGCTGGGAACAACCACGGGAGAATGAGGGCACATGCAGCAATTACCCAGGGAAAAAGGGAATGAGGAGATGCAGAAAGAGCTTGGTAGGGAGAAAAATAAAGGGAGAGAAGCCTCTTCGACATGGGATGTGCGTGGTGAAAAAGGAACGTGCTGGAAACAAAGGGATGCAAGGAGAGAGGAGAGGCTGGGATGGGCATCTTGGTAGACATGTAGGTAAAAGTTGAAAAGGAAGCACTAATTAGCACCCAGACCATCACTTTCCATTAATAGCTTGTCACCGTTTCCTTGATGTTGCTGAGAGCAGGAAAGTTGGTATGTGTGATGCTTACCTGTCTCTATCTCATTAACAGAAGTCAGGGTGAGAACAGATGTTTATTGCCTGCATCCAGATAGACAGGCCCTCTGCTGAACCGAGATGCAGGAGAGAGGGGGAAAGTTATGAAAAGGATGCTTGTGAAACACAAGGCCATACCCACACAATGGAAACCCAAACATAGGACACTTAGATACAATGCAGGAACAGCCCCAGGCAGGTATGAGTCTCCAGGAGTCCACAAGGCAAAACCACTAGGTCAAATCATTATAACCCAGGACAAATACACTACTGGCTGGAGGGAAATGCTCCGGTATCAGCACAAGGTATGTGCAAGGGCCCATGACTGCATTAAACCCAGGAAAGTAAAACAAAAGACTGTTTAATTCCCCAGGCAAATTTGCTGAACCAGAGCCCACTCTGCTAGAAAACACAGCCAAATGCCTTGTTGAAAGTCGAATGGAGAAACCCCCCCAGTCAACAAGGGAAAAAGAAAGCCACAAAAAGCCATTTCAAGCAAAGATGAAACTGCATCGCACACAACCACCTCCAGAGTAATTCTTCCAGCAGTTAAAAAAACAGAGATTAGATATCCCATGTAATAAACAAAGGCCTCTCCTTTCCATACAACATGTGCAACAGCTCCTGTTAGCGACACCGGCAAGAGTCAGTGTGCAAGGCAAGGCAAGGATGCCAGTCAGCAAGCATCTATGAGCTCGTAGCACACATCTGCTGGTGCGTGTGCACATTTCTAGGGACCCCCTTGCTTCCACAAGCACACAAATTCACTACTCAAGCCTCAGGTTCCTCAAGAGCAGGAGCCCAAATCTCCCAAGGAGTGAACAAGGCAAAGCCAAAGGCAAAGAAAACATCAAGGCTGGGGCTGAAGGAACAAAGGCTTCCCCCTCTCATCTTGGAGACATCTTCTTGGCCATTTAGCTCAGAACAAGTGTAGGCTCTGTTGACTTCCCCATCTATTCAAACAAGCACTGTCAATAGTCTGATAGGTCTTTTCTGCTCTACGGCTTCCCTACCCCTGTATTTGCCGTCCGCGACCAACACAGTTAATGCCACATGCAGAAATACTGCCCTGAAGAGCCCTCATTTAGGTTGCGTGGTCAAGCACTTCAAAGTTAGGAAGTGTCCAATTTATGGCTGTCCGTGCAACCTTAATTCCACCTCCATGTGCAGCCACCCTGCCCGGGGAAAAGAGGGAGCGAGCTAAAAATAGGCTGTGACTGTGTCATTACAGCCTCGTAAGGGCAGGGAGAAGCAGAATTCACATCTCATGGCCAAGCTGAAAGCGGGTGCCCCCCGACTTGCCAAGTGCTTGCTTTGGTGCCTTCAGAGCCATGTTCATTTTTAATATACAGAAATCACGTGCGTTCTAAACATACAGAAAAATGCATTATTTATAGCTAATAAATAATAGATTGTTTATATAAGCAAAAAGAAAAACAATTGTAGGCAAGTGTAACAAAATTCCCCTCCTTCCACCCTGCACCCATCCCTGCCTTCGTCCTGCATGGGTACAGTGATTTCAAGCCCTGAGTCTCGGCACAGATTTCTGCCACTATGAAATCCAGGACTAATGTTATCTGGCAGCGGCAGAAGGCTGCTCTCCTGGGGCTGGCGGGGAAGGGGGACCTCTGGGGCTGGCAGTGCCCAGGCACTCACACCCCCCTACGCCTGTTCCTTCCAACGCCAGGACCCGGAGGAGTTTTCTCCCAGGAGATGGGGCCGTGCTGGAAGAATAGTGAAAGGGAGTCATGGAGTTGGCTGTAAGTGTCCTCCCACCTTCCCTGGCTGGTCCAGAGCTCTGCAATCCAGTGGTGGGAGTCCAGGGCTTCACCCTGCTCATGGTTTGCTATTATTATTCCAGGGAAACAATAAATTCCAATTTTTTCTTTCTTTCCCCCCCAAGAGGCAAGCGAAAGGAAATCACGATTCCGAACAATTCATAATTCAGCTAAACCTGAAAGGAATTTAAGGGACAAAGAATAGGCATTTCTCGAGCTGAAGAGCTTCCCCCGGCCGAATTTCAAGGGCCCGCAGCAAACAATGGGAGTGTCAGAGGTGCTCCAAAGGGAAAAAAAGTTCAAGAATCTTTACAATAAAAAGTGTTAGGCAACACAGAGGTCAAAGCCAGCTCCTCCTATAATAAATAGCACGACTACCCTACATTAACTATAGGAGACATTTTAATGCAGTGCCTCGGCTTCGTGCTAATTATACTTTTTTCACCATATTTTGAACCTAAGGAAAAAAATGTCATCAGTTAATTATAACGGATGAGGGAGTGTGAAGACTTCCTCAATAAATAATGCCTTGATATCTCATATCCAACAAGCTGCGTGCTCTGCTCTGAAGGTGCCCAGAAATATGTCCTCTCAGGAAATATGTCAAGAAATGATGGTCCCATAAGCTGGCTTTGTTTCCAAGCCTTGATTTTCGGCCCAATAATTAAGTGGTTTTTATGGATTGGGGAGAGTAAAGGTCGTGGGACTGCTGGAATGGCGCCAGACAGAGTCAATGTTGAAAAATAAATAAATCCCTAAATCAAAACGAGATACAAGAGACCTCAGCAAATGCCCCCCACGGCTGCACAACCGAGCACACAGAAGCGATTCAGTTTCTGGACCCAGGTCCCATCCTTCCTTCTCTCTCAGCATCTCCACGGGAGCCTGGCACGGACATAAAGAGCCTGGTTTGAATGAAACCAAGACACTGCAGCCAGCCGGGAGCCAGCCGCCACCATCCACCTGCTTTGAGAAGAGACCCCATCTTCCTGCTGCCATGCCACCCTGGGCTCAACCCCCCATTGCACCCCACTGAGGCTGGTGGGTGCCTGGGTCGTTATGTAGGTTCCTCAACTAAACCATCTTTCTTTCAGCTCCCTTCCCCACCCAGCACCCCTCACTTCCCCCTCTGAAGAGCCGGGATTTGGCGTGGGAAAGATGTCTTTGGGCTTTTCACAAATCCAGTATCCCCTTGAACCAAAACCAATTAGCCTGGCCCAAGGTCCTGCCATTGAAGGACTGTCCCTTCTTTTCAGACCCCCGCGGGCTCAATTGCTCTAAGGAGCCTGGATGTGAATGAGCAAAGCCCACTTAAAGTGGTACTTAAGGCCAGACCAGGGTGAAGGAGAAGAGAAAGCCTCTATAGGAACAGCAAGCCGAGTTTCCAAGAGACAGCTAACTGCCGGAGATTGTGTTCTTTTGCTCCCTTCCATTTTCTTTCTTTTACCCCCACTCCTGAGCTTTCTAGGCAAACGCTCCAAACCAAACCCGAGCCCCTGAATAAATATCAGACAGCACCTGAAAACCTGAAAGCCAGAGCCTGTCCCGACTCCTTGTGGATGCCGAGAGCCCGGCGGCAGGCAGCGTGATGCCTCAGCTTCATACTGGCACAAGCTCTGGTCCGGAACATGTGTGCCCAGAGGGATGGAGAGAAGGAGGGTGAGCAGCCTGAGATGATGCTTTTCCAGTTGGGATCTTGGCAAATGCCTTCTTGGGCTCACGGGCATGAAACACTGAGATTCCCAACATAGAAAAGGCAATTCCTGGCACCATGTGGTGAGGAAGCCAATGGGGTGGCCACGCAGCCATCTTATGCTCGCAGCCCTTGAGGCCTTCCAGAATCTTATGAAGACCAAGGAGCCTTGATGTGGCAGCAACAGAGGCCCCTTAGTTACACATGGCACCCACAGCATGAATGGCATGCATGCATGGCCATGTGCCAAGCACCAGCACCTTGGCATTTGCAGTTAGGAGAAACACCATCACCTGCATTGGTGCCAAATTGGCACCTTCCCTCCACCCAGACATGAGAAAGCATGTTTCCAGCACCTCCCCAGTGCACAGGCAGCACCCATCCACAGACACAGCTGGGATGGATGCTCCAAGCCTCTGAGCTCTACCCCTTCTCTGGCAGCACAGACAAAACCAGGGCAGAGCAGCAGGTAAAGGGAGGCACCATGTGCCTTCAGCAAGGATGTGGGGAGGGAGTGGGCGCCAAGACAGACAAAAGAAATGGTCAAGCATTGAACCTTCCATTGCCAAGTGATTCCACAAAAATGCCCATTGATAGGATTTATCCATAACCGAGAAAGAGGGCTCATCCTGAGGTGGCTCCTTTGAATGGCAGGGACTGAACAGACCCTTCTTCACCTACCCCTGTGCCCAGGAGGGTTTGGCTTCCCAGGTATCTGGTACAAACCCGCCTTCACCTTGTGCCTCAAGCCCAACCCACTGCGTGGTGGCCAATTTTTAGGAAAAGATGGGAAATAATGAATTGGAGCACACTATGTCCCAGGGCAACATTTCCCTGGGGTGAACCCACAAATGATGTTTTCCATTTACCCCTCCAATGGCACACACCTATTCTTCTGTTTCTGGCTCCCTCTGCCCATCCCCAGCTCCGCCTGAAGAACAAAGACAGCACGGCCCAGCTCCAGAAACCTCACCCATGCCTGGCCTACGCTGCATCCTATCACTCTGCTGGGAGTCCCACCGAGAAGAGAAAGCCACTGGAAAGGGTTGGGAATGCCGTGACCTGGGCTTTCCTCCCAGCACAGCCAAAAATTATGCCTTCCCTTCTGGGTTTGGGCTGTTCAGGAAGAAAGAGCAATCTGAAGCCAACAACTGCACAAACAGGGCAAAGAGCTAAGCCACAAAGGGACCCGTGTGCAGCCAAAATCCATCCTTGGCCCAAAGATGGGCTGTTGGGAACCTTCCTTTCACCACCACACTTAAAAGACAGAAAGCAGAGACCGGGCAATGGGCTGCCAGGGATCCTCCAACAGCAGGTACTTCACACGTAGGGATTTACTGGGGGGCTTTATCCACTTCCTCACCCCCCGCCCATGTGCATGTGAGCTGGAGACACTCGTGCCACAGTCACCTATCACTCACTGCCACCTCCCTTGTTAATGGAGGGGGGGTCACCTTCAGCCTCCAACACTGTGGGTTCACACCAACAGTGGGGGTGAAAATGAAGAATTTAAGTGCCCATAAAAATCCAACCGATGTTCCTCTCTCCTGGAAATTAAGGCCAAATGGCCCAGTCCCTGCCTCAGCCCCCTTCGGGGGGATCTGCTCGAGGCTTAGTGGACCAGAAACGGGCTGAAAAAACACCTGAAAAATGGGCTCAGAACAGGCGATTTGGGGCAGATAAAAAATGGAGAGGAGTCAAGGGTGGCTCCTGAGCAGCTGATGGAACAGCAAGGTGAAAGAGCTTGCATGGATCCTTTGTAAGAGTTCACATGTAGACACGGATTTCCACACTTCCATTTTATTTCATGAAATTATATATCTATGTATTTATACACACACACACAAAGACATTTATTATGTGTGTGTGTGGGTTGGGGTTTTTTTCCCCTCGGATCCTCTTTTGATATTTTCACCTTTTGCAATTACAAAAGGCAGGGACAGAAATACCTCCTGGGTTGTGCCAGTGCAGAAACACTCCCACCAAACAGATTGTCTCTAACACGCTGGTCGAATGATTCCTCCTGAATTATATTCATTAGGAATTTGAATGTTTCTTTCCTCCATCCCCCATCAAATCATTACTCCGGAATAAATGCATTCATCAACCACCTTGCTCAGTTCCCCCCCTGCTTTGTTCAGTCGAGTTTTAAAGCATCTCCACTGAAACCGTTTGCACCTGACTCGATGCTAACGCATGGAAGGGGAAAGGGAGGGGGGGAATAAATAGGAGAAGAATTGAAGTGCCACTCACAATATGGTGGAAATAACTGGGAAATTATCCCTTAAAAATAAGCGACATAATTAAGAAGGGAAAGGGCTACATTGCCTCCTCCCCACCTCCGATCTCTTCCACAATTTCTGGGATTGCATAGAGCATACATATTCCAGATGGGCTGGAGAGAAGGAGGTTGGTTCTTAATGACACGTCTTTCGCTGCCTTTGGAATGAATGATTCATTCGGATCTCGCCGAGACTCGGTGCCACAGTTGAGCTACATTTCTAGAAAATCCGTATCTTTAATTCTGGCGCTGCGTGTGGGACCCAGCAAATCATGGAATTACTGCTGTAACTTCGGATTAGTAACGCTTTCTAAATGATAGTCTAATTCCAGGCCTTCATGCTTTTCAGCGTTCACACTCACACAGCCTTTTCCCTGGGAGGCTTCCTGCGGAATTAGTGCTGGCGTCTTCCTCTTTCTCTGCCCTTTTTAATTTCTCCAATGACTTCTCATTAGAATATATAATAACAACAGCTCCTCAGAACTTTTCTTTCGCCCGGTATAGCCCAATTCAGGCTGAGATCCTTTTTCCTTACTGTGGTTATGGCGGTGCTTTGCTGGCCCTGGAAGGGTGCACAGGCATGTTTAGCTTGGCGGGCCTACGTGGCATCTGACGCCATTCCCCCGTGCAAGGGAAGGTGGAAAACCTGTCTTGGAGGGGCACGGGGCTCCCATCTCTCATTGTGGGTGTGGGTAGCTCACCCCTAAGGTGCTACCCTCATTCCTCAGCAGGGAATGCCCAGCTGCAGGGAAAAGGCTGGGGCAGGGAACCCGCAACCCACTTCTAGAGCAGTGGGAGCACGGCACCGTCTCTCCCATCCCTCCCCATCTCCCGCAGCATCTCCTGGGGGGCAGAGAGCCTGCAAACACCCCACTCCAGACCCAGACACGGGAAGCTTTTCCTCTGCCGCTGTCACGGCCCCGTGTGAGTTCGTGGCAACGCAGGGATGATCTCTGCGGGATGGAACCGCCACCGCCGGGCGAGGGGCCGGCGGCGGTGCCCCACGGGCTGTCCCGGGGTGCCGGGGGGCCCGGGAAGCACGGCCACGGCCACGGGCGCTCGCCCCACGCCAGCGGGGAAACGTGCGGGGAGGCTGGCGGCGAGCGCGGTGCTTTGTGTCGCCATGGGAACGGAATGCAGATGTGCCAATTGCTTTTTTTCCCCCTTTCTTTTCTTTCTTTCTTTCTTTCTTTCCTTCCTTTCTGTCTTCCTTTTTCTTTTCTTTTTTAATATTTGCCACACATTGCAATACATTTTCTATCTTAACTTCTGGGGCTTGCAGCGGAGGGTGAAAGAAAGCTTTGTGCCTTGCCAACCGCTCGGCTTCCAAAAGAAGCCCCCAGCCGGGCGCCTGGATTCCAGAGGGGTGCACCCAGCAGCGGGACCCTTGCCCTTGCATCCCTCTCTCCGAAGAGCATCCACTTCTCCCTCCCAGCTACGGACAAAAGCAAGAGCCACCGCATAGGGAAAGTGATCACATTATCACCAACTTGACCTTCCGCAGGGAGGCCGGGATCAAACCCGAAGCCGAAAACAAGAGAGAGGAATGGAGAGAGAAGGGGAAACATCAAAAAAAACGGGGGGAGGTCGAGATTTGGAACGGGAGGGTGATTTATTTTGGGAAGGCTCTCGCTCCCTCCGTCCTCCCCGAGCCGCGCACCCTGCAGCCAAGGAGCGCATTCGAGGTGTATTTAAGCCCGGGTTAACCCCCGGGTTTCTCTGGCAGTGAAAGCATCCGCGCAGGACTCGCCTCCCCTCTCCCTGTCCCCGGCCCTCCCGCCCGCGGAGCCCCCGGCTGCCGCTGCCCGGAGCGGCCCGACGGGGCGGGCGCGGAGCCGTAGCCCTTACCTGGAGCCCCACGGGTGGTGGGTCGGGCCGTCTCTGCTCCGCCGGTCCCGGTGCGGCCGCTTCCCCCGGGCGAGCAGGTCTGGAAGTCATTTCTACTTTCGGTTATCTAGCTTTATGATGGCTCCACAACACTCATACAGCTAGATAACCAAAGACAGAAACATCCCTCCGTCGGGGATGCCGGCCATCCGTCCGTCCATCCGTCCGTCCGCTTCAGGGTGCGGGCACGGCCGGGGCAGGGCGGCCGGGGGCTGCCACCGGGAACCACACACACACACAGAGAAAACGGGGAGGGGGGAAAATAAGAGAAAAAAACGATAAATGGGAGCGGAGAGGACGAGCCGGGGCAGACCCGCGGCACCGCCGGCTGCGGGGCCGGCTGCGGAGAGCCGGGCCGGGCCGTGCGGGGCTGAGCCGGGCGGTGCGGGGCTGGGCTGAGCCGAGCCAAGCCGTGCCAAGCCCGCCCCGGTACCGGCCCGGGCGAGCGGCGCCCGCGCTCCCGCCCCGCTGCCCAACTTCTACTCCCCTCGCATGGTAATCGCCCCCTTTGGGAAGTGACGTCACGCCGCGCACAGCCAATCCTCGACCCTACATTTAAATCAGCGCCCCCTTTCCCGCGCTTTCCAGCCAGCCCCGGCCCGATCGGGATTGCGGTGGGTCGCGCCGCGGCTGGACGGGGCGGGCCGGCACCGTACGGCTCGGGACCGGTCCTCCCCCCGCCGTGCCTCCCCTCCCGGCCTGCGCCGAAGGGGCTGAGCCGCGGGGCGCTCTGCCTGCCCCCTCCCTGCCCCGCCGTGCCCCCGGCAGCTCCGCTGGGCCGGCAGCTATGGGGAGAGGCGGCAGCAGCCCCGCACGGCCCGGCGCGGGGACCCACCTGCAGTAACTTCGCTCTGCCTATCCTCGAGGCTCCCCTCTGCCTTTGCCCTCTCCCCTCTCTCCCTTTCCAAGGCCTTTCCTTTTTCTCCTCTTTTTCCCTTTCCGTCCATTTTCCTTCCCTTTTCCCGTCCCCTTTCCTTCAGCCTTTCCCCGCCCCCCCTCCCATCGATAACCCCCCCCACTCACCGCACCCCTCTCACACCTTCTCCTCCCCCAGCAGCGCCCGCCCCGTCCGGCCTCTGCACCGGGGCACCCTCCAGGCCCCTTTCCCCACAGACAGACGCGGGGCCCGTCCGTCCCGAGCCGTACTCGGGGGCTGGGGACGCGCCGCGATCCTGCACCGATCCTCTCTGCTGCCCTTTCCCTCCTTGTTTTAATTATTTCCCCTCCAGGTTCTGCTATTTCCCGTACAGTTTCTTAACGCCATATGCGTGTAGGGGCTAACCCGGTATGTACAAACACTAACAACGATAATAATAACGAAATGCCAGGAGGTGACCGTGATTATCTGGGGTCCTTCCTGACTTATTCCTCACTAGAAAGAAAATATAAATAACAAAAATAAGAGCTATAACCCCTCGCTGGTTCTAAGCATCGCCTTCCTTTAAATCCGAGGCGAGGAGAAAACGTGACCGGTTGCAAAACGAGGGATCCGCGAAACGAAGCGATCGCGGCGGGAGCAGCTGCGGCGGAGCGCAGCCCTCCGGTCCCGCCGGCTCCCGGCGAGCTTCGCTCGGGTTATTTATTTCTTTCTCTCCTCGCCTCCCCCTCCCGCCGTATCCTTAGAGGAAAAATTAGAAATGGAATAAATAAAATCTACCGGCTCAATCAGGCTGAAAGCTGCAGGACCAGCGCTGCCAGCCCCGCTGCTCCCGCCGCCCGGGCGAGCCCGGCCGCTGCCCCGCTCCCGGGAACCGCTGCTTCCCTGCCGCCTCCTGCCTAACGAGAAACGGGCCTAGGGGTGCCCCTGCCGCCCCGACGGGGCTGGGGAAGGTAGGGAGAAATCTGTGCTCCGTTCCCAGCCCCGTGGTGCCTTGCTCGGGAGCGCGCTTGGCAGGGGGTTATTTTAATCTGCCCCGGAAAAAGGAGGATAAAAAAAACCTGCCACGGGTCGGATTCCTTCATTTGCTGGCCCTGGATTTTCTCCTAATTTCTCGCTGTCGTTATTGGGGTGATCGCTGCCCGTACGCTCCCGGCCGGGCAGGAGAAGGCGCCCGCTCTCCCCACCGCCTCCCCGGGGCAGCCCAAGGGTGCGTGGCCGGCGGGGCCGAGCGGACATGGAGGGTTCGCCTGGGCTACGGCCCGGCCTCAGCTTCCCCCCACCGGGGGAGGCCCCGTTACTCACCGGGGGGAGCAGCGTGGGGCACGGCCGGCAGCTTCCCCCTCTCCCGGGGCCACTCCGGCGGCGACTCGGCCCCGCCGTCCCTGCGACAGCAGCGGAAGGGCCCAGGCGGGCAGAGCCAGCCCCGCCGAGCAGCAGCTCTGCCCGGCTGCCGCCGTGCGAGGTCTGCTGCCCGCAGCACCGAGCCCCCGGCCGCCGTGCTGCTCGGGTGAGGATGCTGCGGGTGAAGTACCACATCTCGCCGGGCTGCTCGTGGCTGGGATCCCGCCTCTCTGCTGCTCAGAGGAGGCGTTTTTCTTGGCAGAAATGGACATAATATTGTCTTTTTTCCCCTGCTCCTTTTCAGCAAAGCCTTGCTCTGCTCGGAGCCCTTGCCCCAACCCGCTCGGTGCAGCAGAGCCCCCCGCACCTGGGAGAAAATCTCACCTTGTTCTTGGGGTATTTTTTTAGGCTTTGTGGGTTGGGTTTTTTTTGGTTAATTTTTTTTTTTGGGGGGGGGTGGTGGGGTTGGTGGGATTATTTTTAATCATATTTTAGGCGCAATTTGTGCAGGATACGTACAAAATGGCTCCTTGGCACAGCGCAGAGCACCAGCGAGCAGCCCGGGGAGGGATTGGCGGGGGCTGCCCGGGCTCCGGAGGCGTCGCATGAGGGACACGTCCTTCCTCTGCACGAACCCATGAGATTAAACGACCCGCGGCTGCGGGCGGCCCGACGGGACGGGGAGGGGCGGCGGTGCCGGCGCTGCTCTGGCCATGGTGCTGCACCTGCTCCGGCGCTACCGCGGAACATCCGCGCCCACCCGCGGGTGGCCGGGCCTCTGCTTCCCGTGTCCTCACTGGGTGAAGCGGAGCCGGCCGCACCTCGGCGAGCCCCGGGGCCCCGCGGCCGCCCGGTCATCGGGCAGACCCGGGATTATTTAACGTGATCGCCCAGTACCGAGTCCGCTGCCTTCCCCTCTTCTACGTCCTGCGCGTCTGACGTCACTTTTCTTTAATTAGGAGAAGTTATTTTTAGCCAACCTGGAGTAACCCCCGCGCCTCCCCACAGCTTCTCTTAATTGTGGCTGTGCGTGTTCTGGGGGGTTGCGGGTGTGGGGTTGGGGTTATTTTGCTTTTCCTCACGCAAAATCGGGGCTTCGCACAGAAGCGGCAGCTCCCGACGGGCGTGAAGGAAACGCGTCGCTTTGTTTAGCAATTAAAAGCCGCCTCTGAGCAAGCCCCGGCGCTGAAAAGGCAAAGCGGCGGCGGCCCGGCCCCCGCTGCTCTTTTTTCTCGCCGGCCGTCGGGGGCCGGGACCCAGGCGGGGCCGGTCCCGGAGCGTCCCGGCTCGGCGGGGACAGGGGCTGCTCGGCCGGGACAGGGGTGGAGGCACGTCGAGGGGATCCAGCCAAGTGCAGAGTTTCGGGCCACCTGCACTGCTATGATTCGGGTTTCCTAAAGGCTGAGGCCTAAAACGGGTTTCATTTGCACGGAGATGCGAGGGAAGGAAAAGAAAAAAAGGATAAAAAGGATAAATAAAAAAGGAAAAAGAAAAAAAAGGAAAAAAAAAGAAAAAAAAAAGGAAGAAACCCCCCAAAGTTAAACCCAATCCCAACAAAATCAAACCCCAAGAAAAAAGCGTTTTCGGGAAGGAAGGAAAAAGAAGAGAAGAATGAATGGGGAAAAAAAAAAAAAAAGGAAAAAGAAAAAAATTAATCAAAACAAAAATAAATGAAATAAAATTAAGGAGGGAAAGGATGAAATAAAATGAAATAATTTTTTTTTTTTTTTAAAGGCAAATAAAAGAGACACAGCAGGAGAAAAATAAAAGAAATCCTCCAGCAGCAGAAGCCGGTGGCGGATCAGGGCACGGGCAGCGGCTCCCCGCTGCTGCTCCCCGGCGGTAAATCCGAGCAGGCGAGCGGGGCACCCCTGTGACCCCCCATCCCCCTCCGTGAAACGGGTCCCTTCAGCAGCACCCGCTGCACAGGGAGGAAGAACTTCCTCGGGAGCCCGGGATTTCTCCCGCGGCCTAAAGCCTGGGTGCCCCGAGAGGCTCGGCCTCGTCCAGGCGTTTTGCCCGGTGCCGCCTCTCCCGGTGTCGTTCAGGGGCAACTCGGTAGCGCCCGGTCCCCGCCGCCCCGTCGGGGCTCAGCCTGCCCCATGTCCCGCCGCTGAGCTGCAACCTCCCGGGCAGCAGGGGGGAGGCTGCCGGAGCAAACGCATCTCCGGCAGCCCAAGGTCCCCGTGTCTCTCGTTCGTCCCCCGTGACGGGTGGGCCGGGGCCGGGGCGCGGCGCGGGGCGGTCGCGGTGCTGGTCCCGGTCCCGCGTGGTGCCGGCACCTGCAGGCGCCCAACTTCCCTGTGGGGACCGGCCCAAGTTCATCTCCCCTCCTCATTGCTTCCCTCCCTTTTTCCCTCCTTGCTTCCCTGCTTGCTTCCCTCCTCCCCACCCGCAGCCTGTGCATCCCCCCTGGGGGGACAAGTCACCCCGCGCCCTCCCGCCTCCCCGGGGCAGCTCCGCCGTGGCGGCGATGCCCGGCCGCGACACTCACTCTTGCTGCCGTGCCGAGGGCAGGACGGCGGTCCCCGGGCGAAGCGGGCGGCGGGAGCCACCCCATCCCCTGCACACACCGAGAGTGCGGATCAGCGGCGCGGGCAGGGCAGCCCCGGCCGGGCAGCGGCCCCAGCCCCGGGGACGGCGGCAGCGGCTCTGCCCGAGCTCCTCGCGTCTTCCCGGCGGCTGCCGGTGCCGGCTCTGGTCGGTGTCCAGGAGCTGCCGCCGCCGGCAGGCTCTGCCCGCACTGACGTCAGCCCGGCAGCCTCCTATTCACTCCAACCATGGCGGAGAGGAGGAGGAGGAGGGAGAGGGGGAGGGGAGGAGGCGGGAGGAGGGAGGGGGAGAGGAGGAGGACGGGAGGAAGGCGGCGGTGGCGGCGGGGGTTGGTGGCTGCCAGGCTCCGCCGAGCAGAAAGCGCAGCCCCTTCGCCTCACCCCGTAATTACCCCCCGAGGATGGGGCTGCGGGGGGGGGGGGGACACGACTTTGGGAGGGAGAAGAAGAGGGGCCGTGTCCCCATCCTTAACCCCCCCCACCGGTGAGATCCGCTCCCCCGAGGCCGCCGCTCACCTGGGCGCAGGCCGGGATCCCCGCTCTGCCCCACTGTCCTAGAAGTGGTTTTCCGGGTGGAGAACCGGGGTGTGACACCCCCCTCCATTCATCCCTGGAACCCCCGTTCCCTCGAGGACACCCCCATCCCCGTCACG